CCCCGCTGAGCAGGGAGCCCAACGTGGGGCTCGATCCCAGGACCCTGGGACCGTGACCTGGGCCTAAGGCAGATGCTTAACTGCTGAGCCACCAGGCGCCTGTTTCACTGCTTTTATTCCTTTTCTCAGGTGGGTTTCCTTAAGGGTTCCCTGGGCATAAAAAACCCATTATTTAATTTAATTGTAAAATTGAAGTTTTTTTAAAAATTACATCTTCTACCTAGAATTGCACTCTGCAGAAATAACCTTTTGATGTGTATCCTTCCGGTATTTTTTCCTGTGCATTTTACTCTGTGCCTGGCACTATGCTAAACAGATCTCTCCCTCCCTCCAGCCCCTTCTTTAACTCACATCAAAGCTGGTAAGTTGGCACTATGCCAGGTGGAGACAAAGGATCCGAGGGGAAGATGCTCTGGGTCACAGAGCTCGGAAATGAAAGGACTGGGCTCTGCACCAAACACACACTCCATCATTACACTGAGTGTGTGAATGTATTTTATTAACAACTGTGACCTATTGTACCCGATTTTTAACGAGATTTTGTCTTACCTGTAACCCTTTCTCTATGCCTGCTTACATTCTCCTACATTTCCCAGCTGCCTACTGTTTTATCTGTGGATAAGCCAGTTTATGTAAACATTACTTAAGTGGCTATTAGTCCCTTAGTCCATTTCATTTCACCGTTATAAATAAGGATACAAATATTCATGTATAAACACCTCTGTGCATCTATTTTCTTGAGCTAAGTTCCTGTGTCAAAGGGCAACAAAGCATAGGGCTTAGAGTGTAGTTAAAACCCACACCCCCAGTAACCAGTCCCTCTCTCATCCTTTCCTCTCAGGCCGAGTACGTACTGATTTCTCCTGAGGTGAGTACCTCCTACGGGAAAACCACGAAGGTGCCCTTTCCCTTATTATTTAAACTGATCAAATATGGCATGTCTTCCAAAGGCCATTAACAGCCCCTGTTTTACAGGCAAGCTCAAGGTTTGGGAGCTCTGTGGTCACCGTGCGGTCAAAAGACAAGGTGAGCAGGAGGACTGCACTCCTCACATTTATATGCTAAGGCCGGGGTGTGGATGATCTCATTTTATCGTTCAGATTGTGTTTGAAAAACACAAAAAAGGGGTGCCTGGGTGGCTCAGTCGTTAAGCGTCTGCCTTCAGCTCAGGTCATGATCCCAGGGTCCTGGGATCGAGCCCCACATCGGGCTCCCTGGTCTGCGGGAAGCCTGCTTCTCCCTCTCTCACTCCCCCTGCTTGTGTTCCCTCTCTCGCTGTGTCTCTGTCAAATAAATAAATAAAATCTTTAAAAAAAAAGAAAAAAGAAAAACACAAAAAAACATCCACACACAGTCCCATCACTTTCCCAGTTTCATCCCCGAGGGCAGGGCTCGGCAACTTAAGCCTGTGGGCTGCCTCGAGTTCTGTACAGCCCGTGAGCTAAATTGGAGAAAAAAGAAATGAAGTTTAAATTTCAGTGTCTGTGGCTTCCTCGGGGCTGCGTACTACTGGACGAGCTGGCCGGCGGCCTCAGAGACCGCTTTCCCCTGGAGCCTCACGCATGAATACTGGTCTGGGCCCTTCAGGGAACCTCGCAAACCCCTGCCACGTCGGACAGCTGCTGTTAATGTTCTTCCAGACTCTGGGGTTTCTGTAGGACTCTAGGGACAAACTCTCTCCTGCTCGCATACCGCAGTGTATCCTGCTTCCTCTCAAATACACGTGGAGCTACCTTCTTCAGGGCTGCAGAGTATTGTCCAGATGCACCCTATTTTATCCGGTTCACTTTCTCACATTTACTTGAAATTATTTCCAGTTTTCTTACTATTGTGAGCATTCTTGCACAGCTGTATATTTTTATATAATATCCCTGCTAATGATACTCTTGGAAGATTGCTAGATCAAAGGGTATGCACATTGTGGATTTTAATGGATACAGCAGTTAAAGGGTTTATCTTCATCTCCAGCTAGACCACTGAATACATTCGTTTACTCTAGGATATTGCACAGAACTGTGCAGGCTCTGAGACAAAGTCCCCACCTTTGAGGAAAAACATCATTTACACACATGGGAAGTAGAATAAAATGCACATCAGGATAGGACCAAGGGCTAAAGAGTGGGGTGGACCTGGCTCCAGTTTACGGGCATTTGGGGACACTGCCCTCTGGTGGCCCACAGTTCAAGTGTCCCTTGCTTGAATGTTATTTGTAGGCAAGCCTGGTAATTAAAATGTAGGGTTATCCAGAAGAAAAACCCGATGGATTATAAAGTTTATGGGGGGAATCTCAAAAGGTCTGGTGACAGATTACATCATAAGCTTGGCTTAGTCTTTTTTTTTTTTTTTAACGATTTCATTTGACAGCGCGGAGAGGGAACACAAGCAGGGGGAGTGGGAGAGGGAGAAGCAGACTCCCGCTGAGCAGGGAGCCGGATGTGTGGGGCTTGATCCCGGGACCATGACCTGAGCTGAAGGCAGACGCTTAACCTTAACTGACTGAGCCACCCAGGGACCCTAAGCTTGGCTTACTCTTAAAATTCGTTTTCTGAAAGTTAGACATTACACACCTATCAACCCTTACTTAGAGATCTGAAAGTAATTCACAGTTGATTCCTTTCTGTACAACACTGCAAGTTCACCTTTGTCATTACAGTTCACTGTGGTGAACGTTCATACTATTTCACTTGCACGACACCTACCTGGGATTGTTGGTGCTGCTGACAAGTGGACATGGACAGTCTGAGGATGAGAGTGGCCACTCACTGAGCCTCCAGCAACGGGCTGGAATTAGGACTCGGCCTGCACCTGAGCCGAGCTGCCTTAGTCTGCGTCTCTGAAACCTCGTGGCACTAACCCATCTCCATCTCTGTTGTCACCCGAGCACAGCAGGATGCGTGGACTAGGGCAGGAGCTTCACAGGCATGATCAACATACTGTTCTGTGTCCCCTACAGAACCAAGTTGTCGTTGCTGCTGGAAGGAGTTCTTTGGGAGCCCGACTCTCCGGGGCACTGCACGTCTATAGCTTCGACCTCCATTAAAGACTTCACCACCCCTTCCTACTCTGCATCCCCTCCCTGTGCCAAGTCATCTCCAGGGTGAACATTCTGGTGGGAGAGGGGCCCATCCAGGGGAGCCTGAGTAGATCCTGCGAGAGGTGGGGCTCCTGGAGTGGAGACAGGCCTCTTCCCAGGGAATGACGACAGATGCTCTGCTTACTTGTGTCCCCTTCCAGCGCTTCCTTCCTTGCTTCCCCCGTATTGAAACCTGGGACTCAGACCTGCCCTACAACTGCTTTCCCCTTCACGTGAATACCTAGGGCTGATGCCTGGAAAGGACTCTCTGGTTAGCTCTTACGAAAATCTGTCCATTTCTCCTAAAAATGTCCTTTTAGAATTGGTAACCCGTTCCAATCAAGGTGAAATAGAAAGCACAGTATACAAGGAAAAAGTGAGCAGGGAAATAGCACAGTGAGAAGTACGGGGGTGAGGGAGAACCTCACAACTCCACAGGGCGTCAGAGAGTGAAGGACAAACACGACACTCAAAGCTCACCTTTCAGCGCCCTCAACTGCCTTTGAGAAGCGGCTGTTCGCCCAGTTGAACCCCGTGACTCGACATGGGTCCTGGTTCCTCTAAGAGGCGTCCGTGTGGCACTGGGCTGGTACAAGCCGTGCCCAGCCTGCCAGCACGCCCTCTGGCTTGAGGCCACCGCCTGGGAGGGACGCGGGATTCATCTGCAGGCCCTGCGGAAGGGCATCTCCGACGGAAAGCTGTCGACCCAGGCTTCCAGCTTCACTGAACACGTGAAGGCGTTGTTACGGCTTCTGTAGCCATCAGGGAGCAAAATAAGCGATGGCAAGAACCCTTTCTAGCTTCTCTAGAGGCAGTGTAGAGAATGGTTCAAAGAAGACAGGAATCCAGCTGAGGAGTCAAGTTAAATTAGAAATCAAGGGAAAGCTACTCAAGTTAACATTGTGAGCGTAAGGGGAGTACAGAGGGAAGAGTGGGCACACGCCCCTAGATAGCACCTCGGATGACTCGTGTGACAGTCTCTTACAGAGTGTGCTGGCTGCCGGTTCCCTAGGGAACAGCAAAAAAGCACAGACACCCTTTGGTTTCATTTGGGGAACAATGAAAGAGGCCAGAATGACTTAACTGAGTAGAACATGCTGATGAACTGCAGCGTACCGGGCCTCTTCCTTACAAGTCTGTGTTCTCTCTCACCACCTCCCTGACCAAGAGGGCCTGTGTTGACACACGATCATTCTCAATGTCTAAACATACCAGACAGAAGCAAGTTCTCACATAGGATTTATACAGGATATTTAACCATCTTAATCCCGTATTCAAAAGTGCCAAGTCCTACTATCAAAGGTCAACCTGGATGGCAAAGATGTACAAACTGGTCTACAGGGTCCAGTGCATTATCCCCAGAGGTGGGTTACGTTTTAAATCTAAGTATTAACTGTAGCTCTAAGCATGGATTCCGAAATGCTTAACAAAAATGGAAATACCTTGTACGGTTTTAATCTCGATTAACACAAATCTGAACTTAAAGGTCATGGAACAGATGTACATATTTGTGATTGTTTTTCTATTACCTGTGTATGTAAGAACTTGCTTCGAGACTTCACGATCAACATGGTTTCCATGCCTTTGAATCACAGACCTATAGAGATTTGGAGTGCATTTGGGAATGAACTCCGATCTCTGAATGCCCTGTCCATGTACCATTAGACCAGCTCCATGGTATTACTAAAGTAATGAAAGTAAATCTATTAAAGTTTGTTAGATAAATATTAACTCCCAGGGGCGCCTGGGTGGCTCAGTTGGTTAAGCATCTGCCTTCAGCTCAGATCATGATCCCAAGATACTGGGATTGAGCCCCGCATCAGGCTCCCTGCTCCGTGGGGAGCCTGCTTCTCCCTCTCCCCCGCCAAATAAAATCTTTGAAAAAGTATTGTAACTCCAAAAATAAAGCTGTGTACAATTCTTGGAATAACGTGCCCAAAAGCTTTTTATTTTAGTGGTTAATTTCTCACAGTTCGCTATCTTCAGCCACATTTCTTTAGAGGCCTTCCAAAAACAGTCTAATATCATTCCTTGACCTTGTTAAACAGAATAAGACTGCTTGCTCACATAACCAAACACTTGTGCTCATTTTAATTCAAAATTTAAAATCGCCTAACTTCTTAGGTAGCAGAGTGAGTTGACATTTTGAAATCTTCCTTGATCTAACCACCTTCAAGAACTTTATAAAACACCAGTTAACTTCTCTACATCACACTTAAGAGGTAGTTGCTCCTGGAAAAAAAATTATTCCACAAACTCACACCCAAAAGAAAAAGGCCCAAATTCTGTGCCTGATCAGAGTCAAATCAAGCCCCTTGGGCTTTCAATTCTTCCCATGTCACAGCGAAGTCATAATGATAGGTTACCTAGTGACAAAGTGGAGTGTCCCATGAGAGGGAAAGGTTATCAAAGTGTCTTCAAAGTCATCACATTTATGATGCTAGAGAGTTCTGTATTCCCACATTCTGACACCCACACCTCAAGCGTGCCCCTGACCCACAGGGAGGTGCCGAGTGGGCCACTGTGTGCTGAGACCAACCCAGCCTGGCCACCGCATCCTCCAGCTTCTAGTGGCCTCTTCTAACCACACATGGGAGTGGGGAAAGGTACAACTCTGTCTTCTCCCGAACCAGCTACTGGAATAGCATTTTTACTCCCATCACGAAACTACTTGGTAAATGGACTCCTAAACTGCCTCCCATGACATCCTATTACAGTAGCAGGTAAGCCCAACATTATCATGTGTCGTAGAAGAGCTGCTCTGGACACTCTGAAGTTCGAACCTCTGAGGTGTAGGCATATCGATTAACTGGGCTACGTACACTTTCATCTACTCTAAAGACAGGGAGTGACCTAAGAGCAGTAACAGGATGGAAATAGTTTCAGCATTACTTCCAAAGGCTTCCATTATAGCCAAGCAGAGAAAAATAGTTTCAGGGGTCAAGAGAATAAAATCTTGATTAACTGGAATCCATAAAAGGGGGACACATACAAGAAAATACAGTACGTTACAGGCTGATTTAAAGCACAAACTTTCAGAGTTCGTTTATGGATTTTCCTATCTTACCTGAGACAAAGTTCCCAAGAACATGATCCCCTTACTAAGAACTGCTACCTGATCTCGCCACTGTGGGCCTGTCAAGTTTTCAGGCTTTGCTTGGCCTGAGACATGTACAAATCAGAAAATCTATACAACAATCAATTCTCACATGCCTATAAAAACAGCATTTTAAGGTTTTTGCTTCTTTCCTCAATTTTGAAAATGCAGTTAAGTTCCAGCATTGTGGAGTGCGCCATGATATCTTTATCATCAGACATTACAATTTTAGTGATTTTTTTTCAAGTGTCTGACTCTATAAAAGAAAAAGAGTACCAGAAGTTTCCTGTGACTACCATGAAAAGGAACCCGGTCTCTCCTGTGTTGATGTCTCTTAACGGTTTGTCAGGACGCTCTTGCCTGATCCAAGACCGTCGGGCCGGAAGCTGTGCTTCATTTCCAGCCTTCTGTCTGCTTGAAGGGACTTCTTGGGTAAAGAGGCCATCTAAATAGAGCAGGAAAATTAATCACTTTAGTTTGGGTCTGTCTTAAAACAAATGCCATGAGTAAAAGGAAAGGTGACGAGCAGATGAGGGGAGACTACAAGCCCTGTGTCAGTACGCTAAGTATTCATTCCTGGCGTAAATTGGGAATAGAAAGGTAAGAAAAAGGGTAAACTTTCTATCTTTTCTTAATGAGAACACTACATTTTCTAAATTTCAATCTGAGCTATGACAAAGCCTGCAGCAGAATTGCCAACATCTGTCTAAATGCAGAATGCTCATCCCAGAGTGATGTATTTTGCATAGAGCACTAAGCTGTTCACCGGGCCAGGCACTGTCCCAGTAGTAAGTACTTTCCACAGCTTATTTAATTCTCCCACTAACTCTATGACACCACTGCCACTGACCTGACCGACAGATGTAGAAATGAAATCACTTGCTCAGGGTCACAAAGCCAGTGACACCACCAGCTCAGGCGGTCGGTCGGCCTGCAGACCCAGACCATAACCTTCGGCTACACTGCTGCGACCCAGACCCTTCATACCACGGGAGGCAAAGGAGCTTCTAGTTGTCGTCCCAGGAATGACAGCAAACGCCTCCAAATGAGGCCACTTCCCATAAACATAATTCCTGTAATCAGCCAAAACACTCTGTGGTCCTAAAAGAGAACACAGAGTTAATTTAAATCACAAAAGCTCAGGTTCCTTAGCAATACAATTCCCATACTATGGTAGCCCCAGAGCTTAAACAAGCCTTTTTTTTTTTTTTTTTTTTAATTTAAAGATTTTATTTATTTGACAGAGAGACACAGCGAGAGAGGGAACACAAGCCAGGGGGAGTGGGAGAGGGAGAAGCAGGCTTCCTGCAGAGCAGGGAGCCCGATGCAGGGCTCGATCCCAGGACCCTGGGATCATGACCTGAGCCGAAGGCAGATGCCCCTAACGACTGAGCCACCCAGGCGCCCCTTAAAGAAGCCTTCCGTTGTTTGTACAGCTCTTTCCTATAGAAAGGACCGAAGAACAAGCCTTGATACCCAGAGAATCAGAGAATAAATTAGAAGGGAAACATGATATAAAAGGGCTTCAATATTTTAAAATCATCTATAAGCCAAACATAATAACCACTTTTACTTTGTGTTCCCTCCCAATCTTCATTTACGTTTATACAAATGTTAATAGTTCTAATCACAGAGGACATACAACTGAATTTAAATTTTTTGCTTATAGGCATAGCTCCTAAGCTGTGAGCTGAGGTGTCCTGGGTATCACAACACCCCAGATTATTTTAAGTTTTCAAGGAAAACACAATGACATCTGCAGAAGAGACCTAGCTACTTCATAAACAACTTGTTAGGTAACAACTTTTGGTCTAGTAATCCTATGAAAAAATTACTAAGACACTAGACACTAAATGCATCATGAACCAAGAAAGTTTGGGAACCTCTGACTTACGGTAAACATTTTTCCTGTCATTTTCAAGCTTGTACTCTTCTGTCAGTGTAATGTTCATGCCTCCGTGGACGGAACCACAGACCCCCCGGTCTACAGCTACCAGCCGGCTATCAACCACAGCCCAGGTAGCTCCAGAGTGGGACCCCCCCTGCCCCACAGCAGTGTGTTACACAAGCGATTAGCTCTCACCGGCGGAAATGCACACCATATATGAAGGAAAAACCCATCTCTTTGGAACATGAACTTAGACATACGTCAGGACGACAAATGCTAACATGCATTAACTATTTTTGGTGAATATATTTCTAATTATCCAAAAAGAGGGCCTAGTTTATTAAGCAAAAATTATGTTTAAATGAGATTTAGAAGAATAGACTACTACTGTCTTTGCTGTAGACTGGTTCCACAATCCACCTGTGAATAAAAATTTGAGAATGCCAAAATGTGATAAACCAGGGGGGTTAAGTTCCAACCAAGTTTGAAATTTCAAACACACACAGAAATTGTGGGAAGATGGCACAGTAGGAGGACCCGAAGCTCAACAGGTACAACCAGACGACACTCACATCAGTGTAAACCCAGAAAAGGACCTGAAGACTGGCAGAACAGACTCCACAAGTAAGTGGGAGAAGGGGCCACATCCATGAGGGCAGAAAGTACGGAGACCTGGTGGGGAGCTAAATGAAACTGTGGGGCTGCCCACCGGAGGAAGGAACTTGCCAGCACAGAGAAGGGGGAGCACCAGACTATTGCACTGGGAGACGACTAGCCGTAACATCTGGCCTTGAAAACCAGAGGGGCTGAGTTCCGTGAGTTTTTACAATCAGCAGGACTTAAAACTTGGAATTTTAAAAATCACCAGGCTCAACTTCAGGAGAGCGGAGAGGCTGAGAGGAAACTGAGTCCCCACCATTAAAGAGACAACACAACTAACAGCCTGGGGAGATACAGCAGAGAAGCAGCAGTTTGAAAAACACCTGGGGCGTACAGTGGGAGAGTCGTTTGCTAATCTCAGAGTGTTCTGGAGAGACAGAGATCTTGGGAGACGCCTCCAGGAACAAAGGACCTGCAGGTGGTATCCACTGCCCCCCCCCCCAGCTGCCTGGGGGAACTAGCAGCATTTGCTTACACTGCACCCAACTTCCCACCCCTGAGCTTCCCATCCGCAGCCTCCAGCCAGGCCTGCCTCAGTCCCAGCTCAGGGTCCCATCCCCCAGAAGACCCACACAAACCTTGCTAATACCGAGCCTCCCACACCTGGGGGGTGGGGGTTTGCATCCACCCCTCCAAAGCAAGAGCCCATCAAATGCAGCACCCCCAGCCTGGCACATGCAAGCTGCCCCCATAGGGGCCAGCACCACTCCAAAGCACCTCCTGCCCGGGAGAAGGGAAGCTAACCACACACTGAGTGTGGCCCCCAAGGTGGGCTAGGGGCAGCCAGCTGGTCAGACTGCAGGCCCTGACCACACACACAGGCTTCTCGGGGGACAATGCAGGGAAGGCACCCTGCAGTTTGGTGCTTTCGCAGCTCTGGCAAATGCCTGCTCTGACCCAACCGAAGCCCGAGGTGGCCCCGGACTGACCCGTTACCACCACAGGGAGCAGGAACAGCCACTGCACACACGTGGCCTGGCCACACAGTAGGGTGCACACAGCACACAGAGAACAGCCCTGAAGCACCAGGCTCTGGTGAACAGGGGACCTTGCGCTGCAGGCAGAAAGAACTTCTTTCCCCTGAGGCCACCACCTTCAAGAGCAGGAGACACAGCTGACTCTCCTAACACGTGGAAACAGACACCAAGAGGCAGACAAAATGAGACAAAGGAACATGTCCCAAGTGAAACAACAGGACAAAGTCACAGCAAGAGACCTAAGTGAAATGGAGATAAGCAATATGCCTGATGGAGAATTTATTTATTTATTTTTAAGATTTTTTATTTATTTATTTGACAGAGAGAGACACAACGAGAGAGGGAACACAAGCAGGGGGAGTGGGAGAGGGAGAAGCAGGCTTCCCGCCGAGCAGGGAGCCTGATGCGGAGCAGGGTGCCCGATGCGGGGCTGGGGCTCGATCCCAGGACCCTGGGATCATGACCTGAGCAGAAGGCAGAGGCTTAACAACTGAGCCACCCAGGCACCCCCTGATGGAGAATTTAAAGTAATGATCATATACTCAGGACTTAAAAGTGGAGGACATCAGTAAGGCCCTTAATGAGATAAGAACGAACCATTTAGAGATGAAGAACACAATCAATGAAATTAAAAATATACTAGATGGAATAACTAGTAGACTAGAGGAAGCAGAAGACCTGGAGGACAGTCATGGAAAGTAAAGCTGAACAGGTGAGAGAAAAAAAAAAATTATGCAAAACAAGAACAGACTTAAGGAACTCAGTGGCTCCATCAAGTGTAGTAACACTGGCATTATAGGGATCCCAGAAGGAGAAAAGGGGGCAGCAAATTTATGTGAAGAAATAACAGCTGAAAACTTCTAGAATCTGGGAAAGGAAACAGAAATCCAGATCCAGGAGGCACAGAAATAGCCCAACAAAATCAACCCAGGAGATCCATGCCAAGACACATAGTAACTGGGGCACTGGGTGGCTCAGTCAGTTAAGAGCCTGCCTTCAGCTCAGGTCATGATCTCAGGGTCCTGCTCATCAGAGTTGGCTTCTCCCTCTCCCTATTGCTGCCCCACCCAAATGCTCGCTCTCAAATAAATAAATAAATAAAATATTAAAAAAAAAAACACCGAGGGGCACCTGGGTGGCTCAGTCGTTAAGCATCTTGCCTTGGGCTCAGGTCACGATCCCAGGGTCCTGGGATCGAGCCCCGCATCAGGCTCCCTGCTCAGTGGGAAGCCTGCTTCTCCCTCTCCCACTCCCCCTGCTTGTGTTCCCTCTCTCTATCAAATAAATAAATAAAATCTTAAAAAAAAAACAAAACACCTAGTAATTAAAATGGCAAAAAGTGGTGATAAAGAGAGGACTTCAAAAGCAGCAAAAGAAAGACGTTAAATACAAAGGAAACCCCAAGGCTATCAGCTAATTTCTCAGCATAAACTGCAGACAAGAAGGGAGTAACATGATAAATTCGAAGTCCTGAAAGGGAAAAATCTGCAGCCAAGAACGCTCTATCCCGCAGGGCTATCATTCAGAATAGGAGAGACAAAGGGTTTCTCAGAGAAACAAAGGAATTTATCACCACTAAACCAGCCTTACAAGAAATGTTAAAGGTGGCTCTTTGAGTGGAAAGGAGAGACTGTAAGTGAGAGTATGAAAAGTAGGAAACACAAAAGCAGTAGAAATAAGTACATCTATAAAAGTCAGTCAAAGGATGCATAGTAAAAGGATGTAAAGTATGACACCCAAAATGTGGGGGGGAGAAGAGTAAAGAATGGGTTCAAACTTAGGTAACCATCAGCTTAATACAGACTGCTATATGCGAAGATGTTATATACTAACCAGTGGTAACCACAAACCAAAAACCAGTAATAGATATGCAAAAAATAATATAAAAAAAAAAAGGAATCCAAGTGTAACACTACAGAAAGCCACCTAATAATGAGAGAAGAGAGCAAGGGAAGAAAGGAACACAGAAGAACTACAAAAACAACCATTAAAGAAGCAACAAAATGGCAAAAAGTATATATCTATCAATAATTACTGTGAATGTAAGTGGACCAAATGCTCCAATCAGAAGACATAGGGTGAAGAGAATGGATAACAATGCAAGACCCATCTCATGCTGCCTACAAGAGACTCATCTCAAGACCTAAGCTCTGCAGATGGAAGGTAAAGGGATGGAGAGGCATTTATCATGCACATGGATGTGAAAAGAAAGCTGGGGTAGCAATTCTTATATCGGAAAAAAAAGACTTTAAAACAAAGACTGTAACAAGAGACAAAGAAGGACGCTATAATAAAGGGGACAATCCAACAAGAAGATATAACAAGCTGGTTGTTTGAATAAATCAACACAATTGATAAATCTTTAGTCAGACTCATCAAAAAGAAAAATGACTCAAATAAATAAAATCCGAAATGAAACAGGAAATAATAACCACCATCACAGAAATACAAAAGACTGTAAGAGAATATTATAGAAAATTATATGCCAAAAAATTGGATAACCTAGAAGAAATGGATAAATTCTTAGAAACAAATAACCTCCCAAAACTGAATCTGGAAGAAATAGGAAATCTGAA